AAAACATGGACGCCATGGATGACGAGATGGATAAGGAGATCGGGTTGGACGACGAGACCTTCACTGCGGCTCGCCACCCTCTCGGGGACACCTCTGACAGCGCTATCGACCTTGATGCCCCCGTCGTCGCCGAGCCCGAATTCTCAGTTTCTCGGGGTAATTCCAAGAGAAGATCTACGGCCCATGAGGCTCCCGTGGACGAATATGTGCGTATCAACTTGTCTCTCAACATGCTTATCCTTGACTGACAACTCCACCAAAGACATTCAAGCGCCCAAAGACCAACCCTCTACAAAAATCTGAATCCTATGCCGCATACCTCAAAGAGGACTCGGTACACAGCCGGAACTCAGCCATCTCCACTGGATCGGCTGGTTCTCGAAGTGTCTTCAGATCAAAGGCCGGCGGCACTAGGGGAGGCAGCAGTGCATCGCTCGGGTCGGGATCCTTTGGTGGTGGGGAATCGGGGAGAGGCAGGGCGTTGCCTCAGCGAAGCAACACGATGTCAAGTAGCTCTAGTGGGTTGATGGGGTTGAAGAAAGGAGACAAATTCCATTGATGAGAGAGGGGGTCCGCATATGGTCTTGGTATTGTTAATCATCTTGTCGTATATTTAGAGTCATCTCTTGTATGTAAATCTCATGGTATGATTCAACGAATTATGGATCCATCAGCAGCTTATTCCCGTTCGAACTCGAGTACGGTTTGCTCAAGTACAGAGCGAGCAGCCAGCTTCCCCGCTGGGAGATCGGCGTTCACCGACCACGCACAACGGCCGCCGTGTTGATGTCAATTCATCATTTCGACTTTTGTATGGCAATCAACCAATTTCACGTTCTCATGACCATGGCACAGCAACAAGCCCCATCAGCGCCCGAGACCTCGGCTGGATCTCTTGAGCCGGGTACATACCGCTCCCTTCTTCCAATCGTGGACGAAATTCTCGCCATACTACACGCTCAAACCGTCTCCCCCGAGCGTATATCCCCTGCTCAGTCTTCGGATCAAGTAGCCCCAAAAGTGAGAACATCAATACGCTTGCATGGCTAGGAAATCTAGCTAATGGTGAGTGCCCAGGCCAAGGAGCTCTCGCAAGCACTGGAGGGAATGAAGATGTCCGCTCTTTCATTACCGGGGGGCAATCTATCAACGGAAGATATAGGCAAGCTGTTGGATGTTTTAGAAACTGAGGGTGATAAGAGAAGGTGCGTAGATTATATCAAAGTTCTTTGAGAGATCTCTGACCATAATGACAGACGGATCCTGTCAAGATTTGAGACATTGAGTCTACCGATGGTGGAGGAGATGGCCAGTGCTGGATCAGAAGCCAAAGCAGACGAGGGAGGAACTTGATGAGTCTAAAGGGACCGGAGAGTTGGAGAGTGGTGACAGGTGAAGGGCTGTCCGTGGTTACCAGCTCTTCTTCTCCTTCTATAATAACACTGTAATGGCATATTTCCTCGCATAGAATGGCCCTTACATGTATGTTGTACATATATCATAGCCGATTCTCATATCAAGCTGGTACATCCTTGCTAATATGTACCCGTACTGTAGCTGCGAAACAATCGAGGGTTGTTGTTACCATCATCGAAGCACCCTCATATCCACGGACGGCGGGTGGATTCGACCGCCTCCCAAAGATGCCGACGCGCGCGCTGCTTAACGAACCTTTCCTCCATCTGCCTCTTCATTTTCTCTTACAACTATGGTCTCTTACTTACCCAAACACAAGTGAGGTACTTCTCTACATGCCCAAATCCTAGCATGTCCGACCCGTGCTGCGTCAATTGCCGCCGGTCATACGGCGCTACCGTCCTGCTCGAGTTTGACCCAAGCGGGTTTTGGGCTTGCCCCCGATGCGGCCTAGTCGACGAGAGCGCCACCTCCTCCGAGACACTGGTAGACTTCAATCAGCATGGAATTCAGGTGGATGACAATATACGGGGGACGAAGGCTGCGTCTTGGACCGATTGGAGGGAAGCGAAATTCGAGGTGAGTACGTTCCACACGAGATTGGAGGCAAGCTGACAGGATTGCAGGAACATGTGAAGGACCTCTTGGATCTTTATCTCGGGTACAAAGATCCCCGGACAAGCGTCCTTGGTGCTCCAGGCGAAAACATCCGCGCTAGCACTCGCAAATGGCTCACCCGCATCATCGAGGCCGACCGTCAGCTCTTTCAGCGTCTACAAGGTCACAAGAAAGCTAGTCCCAAGACCAAGTTCCTCGTGGCGACTGCCCTCAAGATGGCGCTGGATGAGAATGCGGTGGCTGTACTGCACAACCGATTGAGAGGAGCGGGCATCAAGACAGAGATGAAGAGTGCATGGGAAGGTGCCAGGAGTGACGAGCGGTTGCCGGCTTTGAGTCTGTCCCAGCTGGCCGTAAGTCCCCAGATCATCCTCTTCCTTCCGCATGCTGACATAGTGACAGACAAGGCTCTCTCAATACCCTGCGACCAGCTTTGGCTACACCGACCGAGAAGGCTATCTCACTCTCCTCCATCGCCGCTTCACCAAGCTCCTCCGTAATGCCCTCACACCCCTCGAATCTACCCTGATCTTCCTCACAACGATATCTCAGCGCCTCCGCCAGATCGCGGATACCCCCAACGAGGAACGTGCTTCGTTGCTGCTCACCCGGCCACCATCTGGAAAGGGTACGCGGGGATGGGTAGCGGAAGAGTTCGCTTTTTTCGAGGACGTCGAATGGGAGAAGGTGCTGCCCGAAGCGTACAATTTGTATCAGATACAAGACTGTGTCTATCTGTGGGGCAGCCGTTCTTCTCCCAGTATAGCTATCGCCCTCCTCCTCTGGTCTATCCAGTCACTCAAATCTCTGGTCGTCCCATCTTTCTCCATCCTCATGGAGGAACTCTCAGCGCCATATGGCCAACAGCGCTGGGTAGCTCTGGAGAGGTTCAAAGAGATGCGCAACCTTCTCGTAGCCTGGAGTACGTCCTTCCCCGAAGCGGCTATCCCATTCCCTCTGTTACCTCTGCCCCCTAAAGGTTTCATAGGCGACGGTCTATGCGGCTACGGGAGTGATTCTCGACGAGGAATACCCGAAATCGACATGGCCGTCGCTGTTGCCCCCCTCATCACTCAGCATTGGTGCAAACTTCTGCAAGCAAGATCCCGGACGAGAAAGGACGCCATGCCTCTTGCAGACGAGATACATCTGGCTCGCAAAATGTTTGTCGTACGTGCTGGCGACTATGCTCTTCTACTCGACCCAAAGGCGACTCTACCACTTCATCTCAAGAGCATTGCTCGACCCAAGTTGGGGAAAATGTCGCCGGCGGTGCAGAAGTTCAGAGTCTTTGCGGATCAGGCGAGGGCCGAGATCGCTGGATATGTGCCCTTGTGGCGTGTGTGCGTGGATGACGAGGTTGTGAGGAGAAGGCTTCGAGGTCTACAGGCCATCTCGGATGGTGATGAAGAACCGGCCAGCCAAGTTCGTGCGGATAAGGCTTCACTCGCAGCATCATGCCAATCCATCCCCGCGCTTGAATCATCTGGTCAGGGTGTATACCTTCAACGTGCCTACCCAGTCCCCTTGACTCTTCCTCCCGCCTCCTCTTCATCTTCCGATGACCACTCCGGTATACTCATGCGCGAGCGAGAGGAATACATCAAGTTTCGTTACGCGTCGTATCTCGAAGCCGGGCATATCGTCTCGCCTGCTTGCGCCACTATCATGTGGGATTGGCTTCGTGAACAAGTCGAGATGGGCAGTATGCCTGCTACTGTCACGACCGAGTATCTGGCGGGTATTGGCGTAAAGGGCGACCCGAGGCAGGGATGGGATCTGGGAGAATGGATCGAACAGAGGAAAGAGACTTGGTCGCCCGTAGAATGTCTCTTGCGAGCTGGCGTCAAGCCGGGCGAGATACCTCATCACCTTGTACCCCAGTCGCCCACGCATCTCCGAATCATGCTTTGGCACTTTCACGAGAGAGCGTCTCTTCTCGGGCTTGCCGATGATAATATTCTAGCACCAGTGGGCAAGTTTGAGGATGAGATCGCGCTGCTTTTTCAAAAAGAAAGTGAAGAGTCTTTCGACAGCCTCTTTTTGGATGACATGGAGCGTGCAAAAAGGGAGAGGGATTATAAGATGATGGAAGTAGTGGCCAAAGACGAGGATATGGATGCCTGGAGGAAAGCAAAGGTGGCTCGGGAGCGAGATGGAGTGTCCGACGAGGAGTTGTTAGATGGCGAAGAAGAGGACATTCTCTTTCCGCAGTCCCTAGCCCAAGAAGAACCATCTTCGCCCGGTTCAACATCCTCCAGTCGACCTCCCACAAGATCTCGCGCAGAGTTGAATCATCTCTCAGCCATCTTCAACGTTCCTTCACATCTTCGAAGCAAAGATCAGCTCGAATTGCTTGCTCAAGCCATGGGGACCAGCGACGATCCAGACCTGGACGACCATGAGAACCTGCAAGATAGTGACAGGCTGGCGTTCAACTCAATGGGACCAAGCTTGGTCGGGATGGATCTAGGGTGGGGGTTCGAAGAGGGCGGACATGTCGAGGGTGATGAAGAAGATGATAATCCGAAGGCGAGTCAGCCGGGGGCACGTGCCAAGAGGAAAAGAAAAACGGGCGACGAGGGGAAGGAAAAGAAGACACCAAAAAGTAAGAAGTAATAAACGCATTGAGACAGTATGTATAGTACTCGTACGATATGAAGCCTCTCTTATGACGGCGCAGACCAATACTGTCAGGTCACATACATCAGTACGCGCGTGCGGGCACATGAAAAGTCGAGGTTCCAGCGCACTTTCTCATTGACCAGGCCGTCCTTCAACGTTTCGTATTCACCGACCTCACATAGCACTAAAAGCACCTGTATGGTATAAGACAGCTAAAATATATACATCAAATATACACATCAGTGCAAAATGCCTTCAGCGCTTCTGTCCGTCCCGGGCATATCGAAGGAAGAGAAAAGCAAAAAGAGAAAAGAGCGACCGGGAGAAACGCAAAAAAGATATGACGAAGACGGGATTTGAACCCGCGCGCATAAGCATGCCGGTAACTCAGTACCTGAACGACACTCCATAACCACTCGGACACTTCGCCACATTCGATGAAAGCCCGTTGCTACAACTGTTATATTCTGAATGGCAGCTGCATTTTCCGCAGCCTCTTTCGTGTCCATGTCAAGTTGCAACCCTTTCATTCCTCCGTCAAACGTGCATTTCCAACTATCTCAAGATCATGTACGGCGGTCGTAAGTCAGGCGTGCATTGAGCCAAGCTGAGCTGACCTTGCGCCAGCCCCCTTTCCAGGCTCTTTACCGCCATTCCCTCCTCAGCGTCCGCCTCAGAATGGTATGCCTCCGTACCTCCCTTCCTTCCCTCCGCCCCCCTTCCTGCCTCCCGGCATCTCGCCAAATGCACACCCTGGCACTCCGGGCCAGTACCCTCCCCAGACGCCGATGCCAGGTATGATGGGTATGCCGCCGATGCCTCCCGGGATGCGACCACCTGCGCCCGGAATGGGGACGCCGGCTCGGCCCAGCCATCCTGGATTGGGTAGCCAGTACCAATCTCATCATGGCCTGCCTAGACCGCCTAATTTTACTCCTGGGCAGTCTCCCCAGCAACCTAGAGGGGACGTCAAAACCACCAAGGTTTTCGTCGGTGGTATTGCCCCAGGCATTTCGGACGAAACTCTCACGAATCTACTAAATGTACGTATCATCATATCGCTTAAGATGGCATCAAGCTCATACATAACAGGCCTGTGGTCCTTTGTACGAACTGAAACGTGTCTCCGGAGCCAGCGGTAAACCCCAGGCTTTCGGTTTTGCCTCGTTCGAAAACCCCGATATCGTGCTTCGAGCGATCCGCTGTCTCAACGGTGTCGAGCTGCCAGACGTCACTCCTGAAGGCAAAGCTACTGGTGCCTCCAGCAAGAAGCTGATAGTGAAGGCCGACGAGAAGACGACGGAATTTTTGAATGAATTCGAAGCGACTTTGGGAAGGACCGAGGTGAGTGCATCGATTGGCATCCCTGATATGTGCTGATGTAGATGCAGTCGGACGAGCAAGCAGATGCTATCACTCGCAAGTCGATTCAACACATCGTTGCTCTTCTCACCGACCCCAATGCCCAGCATCCAGATGGCTCTTCTGCCGCCGCCCAAGATGCTCACGTCGTCGTCCCACCACATCTACAAGACCTTCAAGAGGGTGACCTGCCCGAAGATCAGCGCGTGGCGGTGCTAGATCAAATAGCCGTCTTTAGGGAGACAGCAGCAAAGAGGGAGAGGGAGAAGAAGTTGATGGAAGAAGAGAAGGAGAGGTTCAAGGCTCAGCAGAGTCAGGGTGGGTATGGGAATGGGAGGCAGCAGCCGCAAGGCCAAGGCCAAACCCCATACGGCAACAGGGGAATGGGCAGGCAACAAGAGCCGCCTATGAGGCAGTTTGGTACGCCTCAGGGGCGGAACGGCGCTGGCCCCAGTAGGCAATTTGGCAGTCGGGATCAAAGTCAGCAGCGCGATCCCCAGGCCTATGACCAGCCCGTCAATTTTGTGGCTGCCCAAACTATAGAAGGAAAGGTGGAGAGTGGACGTACGGATGAGGAAGAGGAAGAGTTCCGAAGGGCTGCTAAGCAGCGTGAGCTGGATATTGCTTTGCGTGACGTGAGTACTCTGTCACTGTAAGCGACCATGAGCTAACATAGCAACAGGCCGAAAGGCGAGTTGAAGCCCGTGAACGTTCCCGCCTCACGACTCTCAACAACGAGCTCCAACACCGCCAACAAACAGCCTCTTCCATCTCTTCTCTCGCTTCCCTCCAATCCGCCCTCTATGCCGCACTCGACGACTCGGACCCTTCCGACGTCAAGCTCCCACCTAATCTCGGCCCGAGGGACATGATATTCTTCACGGATCGTAACACCTGGCGCTCGCGCAGGCAGCGAGTCCGGGCGAGTGAATATCAGGCGGATCTGAGGGATAGGCAGGCGGAAGAGGATGAGAGGGTAAGAGCAGACAGGGAAAGCGAAGAGTTTCTGCGGAGGCAGATGGCCGAGCTCAAGGAGCTTGAAGAGACCCAGCGAGCTAGGGGTCTTCTCACCGAAGACGCCGCACCCATTAGGCTGGCCCTCTCTGCCGCTGCTCCCCCTCCACAGCCAAAGGAAGAGAAGAAACCTGTGCCACAGGCTCGTCCTGGCGTGCAGTTTGACGAAGATGAGGATGAGAATCCCGCGAAGAAGCGTCGCACATTCGTCAAGTTGGATGATGATGATATGGCGAATGGGGGCGAGGCGGGGCTGTCTGAGGCAGAAAAGATGGCGAGGCGGATTGCAAAGTTGGTACAGATCAAGAAGGAAGTACCTGGTGATAGGAGAGGGCTCTGGAGAGTGTCGGTGGAGTGGGCTGCTATCAATGACGTGAGTCTGCGCTACTTCTATCTCGAGAGTGATTACTGACAGTGTCGGCTACAGCGCCTCATGCAGTCCAAGATAAAACCTTTCATCAACGCCAAGATCACAGACTATCTCGGTGAATTAGATGTCGACCTCGCAGATTTTGTTTTGGAGCATTTGCAGGGGAAGAAGGGCCCGGACGAGCTGATAGATGGATTGGAACCTGTACGTCCCCTCCTCAACCAACAATCTCTTCCATCGATCATCTGGCATGAAGAGCTTTAGGTGTCTGATCCAGGAAGATAAAAAGGAATTGGCTGACATACGTCGGTGTTCCTCTAGGTCTTGGCAGAAGACGCTGAGCCATTCGTCACCCTCCTTTGGCGCCAACTTGTCTTTGAAAGCTTTGCCTTCCGGACCGGTACCGAGACTGGCGACATGATGATCTAGAGGGCAAAATCTTCATTGTCCTTTTGTTGCGTAAGCAGGGGTGGACGGGAGGTGAGAGCAATGTCTCCTTTTTCTTGCTTGCTACTTTTCTAGGGATGATACTCCTGCTATTGGACTTTTTCGCGTGTATAGGTCTGGATGACACAGAAGAGCGAGGAAAAGGGGAGGGGCACCACTAATAAGGGTATGTCAAAATGTCATGCATTGAGCCTTCTAGAAAGATGGACAGATTACGCTTGATCTATACACAGCCACAGATAATCTTTGAGGCCAAAAGGTCATCTCAGCTCTACACCAAAGCAAGTACAATTCTTCTTTTCTTCAAGAACGCACTGCATCACCTGCTGTCCGTTTCTCATCATTATGTTAGTAGCAGATATCAATCTGCAGTGCTTTCTGGACGATACAGCCACGAAGTGAGTACAACGTGACGCAGTAAGACGTTGAAATCGGGGATGATATGTCTGGTTTTCCTCGATATGTATATGCATTGAGAATGACACAACAACTACAAAAGACCCGAGAAAGAATCTATGATTACAAATGGATCAACTCTTAAGAAGGTGATGGCATTCAGCCCCGTGTTGTGATTCGACCACACCTATATAAGATGCAAGCAAAGAGGAAGAGATATCAAACAAGTCAGAAGCTGGAACTATGATACAAAAAGACGTCAAAAGGCCGTCATTACGTCGTTATCTTGGACCCAAAACCCCGGACAGAGTCTCATCTAACAAAGGCGATGGGCCTGCTCTAAGCGATGTTGTTTGTGGGTATCTGTTGAGCTGGAGAAGGGTGTGAAGTTGAGGGTGAAGCATCACTTCCACCAGCGCTGACGACGAAGCCGAGTTTGGTAAAGCATTTGACCAGATCGGCTTTCGTAACAGGCTTCGCAATAACAGCGGAGAATAGGGTGCCTTCTTCGGTAATGGATTGATGTTGCTCGTATGATGTGGCAGCAATGACTAGCATATTGAAGTCAGCGAATAAGAAGAGAAGGGAAACTCGTAGACCTACTCGGCGTGTCTTGATTTTGATTACTAGTTGAGCGGATCATTCGAGCAACCTGCTCTCCGTTCACAACCGGCATGTGTATATCACAAACAATAACGTCGAATTCTACCGTCAAAGATGAGTAAATGGTACAAAGAGAGCAAATATGCACTTACTGATGTTACCCATCGTCGCCGCCAGTGCTCCAGGACCATCGTCCACACAGATGCAACGACATCCCATTCTCCTGAGAAGCGTTTCAAGAATCTCAAGCAAAGATCAGCAACGTCATAAATCCATAGCGAAAAGTCATTCACCTTTTGAGAGATAGGATTATCCTCTGCAATCAACACATCTAAGCCACGTATCTCAGCAGGTGTCGATCTTGTCTCGTCGGTCACTTCTGTTGACCCTGCCACCAAAGCCGCAGCCTCCAGCTCTTTTCCAGGATTCTCCAGCTGCAACGACGCTTGCCTCCTTTGTCTCCACAGTTCCGCGCTTGCACTCCCTGCACTCGAGCCTGAGTCCGTCCTGATCCTATTCTGCTTGATATTACTCTTCTTGGTCACCTCCAAATCAGCATCAGAAGTCTTGACTCGCTCGAGAGCATTGAGTTCCGACAATCGTCGAGGGTGTTGGGGACCGGAAGGAAGGGTGAGAGGGGGCTGGGAGACATTGGCACGAGAAGGGGTGGATACCGATGAAGAGGTGGAGGTGGATGGGGAAGGAGGGAAGGGGGCATCTGCACCGTCTGAGACGCGGTGTCTGGATTTGCCTTTCGCCGACAATCTCCGCGGCTTCGCCCTAGCTGGCGCCTGGCCTTCAAGGGCCTGGGCTAAGGGCACCATCGAATCCGTTCTCATCTTTTTGATAACATCATCGTTCGCTTGCTTCAGCACTGGAAGATTTTTGTAGTTGAAAGCACCAAAGTCATCTTGCTCCGCAATATCGTTGATGATGGCGTCCATATCACCAGTCGTCGAGGAGGGAGATGCCAGAGGAACGGTAAGATTGTCCCCGGCAACTTTTTTGAGGACTTGCGCTGGATTATCGTCGTCGTGGAAGACAAAAGTAGCACCACGGGAGTCGAAGTAGTCGGTAGACTCGGGATCGGTGATATCTGGGACAAAGCTGGGCTCTTCAGTGGCGATGGTATCCCAATTAATAGATGCCAGGAAGGGATGCGATTTCACCTCTCCAGCACCACCAGCTCCCAATCGTCGATGAGGATCGGCACAAAGAAGCTTGTCAATTAAATCTCG